CCCGGAGGCGTCCTCGCCGGGCGTCCCGCGGGGCCCCGCGTCCCCCCACCCCCGCCCAGGAGCAGGGCGGGAAGGGAGGCGCGGGTGCCGCGCGGACAGCTCCTCCCCCCACCGCAGGGCTCCACGGGAGTTGGTGAAGGGAGTTGGGGGGGCTGGAGCGCGGGTGGGTCCCGTCCGGGTCCCGTCCCACCCCCATCTGCCCTGCCTCCGGGTCTGGATACAGGCCTGGGGCGCTGTGAACCGGCCCGGCTGCCCTGCCCCGGAGGTGGTTAGAGGGAGGCGGAGGCCCGGAGCCCCAGGGCTTTGGCTGCGCCACCAGAGGCCTGGGAATGGGCATGGCCCGGGGCGGTCAGGTCCGTGTGCAGCATCGTGGTTCTTGTGGGCTTTGGCCCTCAGACAGCCTGGAAGGGAGGCTACCTCGGAGGTTCGGGAAAGGGGGGACGTCGGAGGAGGAAGAGGGAGCGTTTGGGTAGAACTGGTGTTGTGAGCAGGACGCCCCGGGGGACCTCCCTCGAGGGCCCCGGCTGGTCGGTCTCAGAGGACGGCGCCGGGCAGGGGTCCGGTCCCCAGCCTGTGCCCCTGGGCACCTGACGCAGTGCGGCACACGTGCGGTGCTGGCTGGCCAGACAGGCGGCGGCTCTGGAGTGCGGTGCCACCCCTGCCCTGCTGTGCGCCCTGCAGCTTGCTGAGTGAGACCGAGAAGCGTCCGTTTGTGGAGGAGGCCGAGCGGCTTCGCGTCCAGCACAAGAAAGACCACCCCGACTACAAGTACCAGCCCCGCCGGAGGAAGAGCGTGAAGCCCGGCCGCAGCGACTCCGACTCGGGCCCAGAGCTGGGCCAGCACCCCGGAGGGGTCCTGTACAAGGCCGACTCAGTCCTCAGCGACGCCCCCCACCACGGTGACCACACAGGTGGGCCCCCAGCCCCCTCGGAGTCAGAGAGCCCCACGGCGCGGGGGGGGGGGAGAAAGGCTAGTCGGAGGCTGAGCCATGGGGGAGGAGCAGGCTTCCTCCAGGGCAGGCGCCCAGACAGCCCGGGTACACCGGGAGGCCCCGCTGCAGCTGTTCCTGATGCACTGGGTGGGAGGGGCGGGGGCTGCGGAGCCCTGCAAACCCCACCATCCGGCCGCTCTGCTTGGTCCACTGCTCCTGCGGTGGGTGTTCTCAGCCAGGCTCACCCACGCTGTCTCCTGTGCAAGCCTCTGCCCACTCGGGGTCAGCAGCCCCAGCTTCAGAGCCGGGCTGATGGGTGGGACCCTGGCCTTCAGCCCTGCGCCTCAGCCGCTCAGCCGCTTGGCTGTACCTGGCTTGTTCACTCTGGTGGGCCTAGCAGCCACATGCCCCCCCCCCTTCAGGGAGGGCCCGAGCCTCCCCGCAGCACACTGCTGGGTGGAATTTTCTCCACTGAAGAGTGAGGTGTGGGTCTGAGCTGGCAGGAATTTCTGAGAAAGTAAAGAAACAAAAAGCCGTTCATTCCTACCTGCGGCCGTCAGCCGGGCTGCCCCCCAGCCCCACAGAGGAGGCATTCATCCCTGCCACGCGCTCTCTCCCACAGGCCACACCCACGGGCCGCCCACCCCACCCACCACCCCTAAGACCGACCTGCACCCCGGGGGCACCGGCGCCAGGCAGGAGCTGAAGCTGGAAGGCCGCCGTCTGGCGGACAGCGGGCGGCAGAACATCGACTTCAGCAACGTGGACATCTCGGAGCTCAGCAGCGAGGTCATCAGCAACATGGACGCCTTCGACGTCCATGAATTTGACCAGTACCTGCCACTTGACGGCCACGCCGCTCCCCCCGCGGAGCCCAGCCAGGCCACGGCTGCGGGCGGCTCCTACCGAGGCACCTCCTACCCCGCCTCGGGGCCGGCCAGCGTGGGGGCGTCTCCCGTGTGGGCCCACAAGGGCGCCTCGTCGGCCTCGGCGTCGCCCACGGAGGCGGGACCCCCGCGGCCACACATCAAGACGGAGCAGCTCAGCCCCAGCCGCTACGGCGACCAGCCGCACGGCTCTCCCGGCCGCTCGGACTACGGCTCCTACAGCACCCAGGCCGGGGTCGCCGCGGCCGCTCCCGCCGCGGCCGCCAGCTCCTTTGCCAGCGCGCAGTGCGACTACACCGACCTGCAGACCTCCAACTACTACAGCCCGTACCCCGGCTACCCCCCCAGCCTCTACCAGTACCCCTACTTCCACTCCTCCCGCCGGCCCTACGCCTCACCCCTGCTCAATGGGCTCTCCATGCCGCCCTCCCACAGCCCCAGCAGCAACTGGGACCAGCCCGTCTACACCACGCTGACCCGGCCCTGAGGCCCCGCCGGACCCCCTGGGGCGCGCGCTGTCCTGGGAGCGCAGCCAGGGCCCTGAGGTCTCCCAGGAGCGTGCACTGTGGAGCGGGAAGACAGCCAGGCTGCCTGAGCTCCGGCAAGTGCCTGCTGAGCCTGTGGGAAACCGGCCTTCGCCCCGGTCCCAGATGCCCCCTCGCCTTGTGATCTCCACGCTTCTGCCAGCAGACAGAGCTCGCTTCCTTCTCCTCTTGTTATTCTCCCCACCTCCGTGTGACTGGTGATTCCAAAATGACAGCCATCCGCTCCTCCTCGCCCCCCTCCGCAAGGACCCAGAGGTGTCAGTGCATCTGGGATTTGCATCTTCGTAAGTGAAAGAGGACAAAGGAAGGGGCCCCGAGGTCCCCAGGCTGGGTGGGCTGTGGTCCACACCAGCCCCAGCACCCCTGGGACCGTGGGCCGCTTGCTGTTCCGCAGCATCAGCCCATCGGAGGACTTGTGGGATGTGTTTGTTCCAGCCTCTCTTGGGACCAGCCGGGAGATGGAGGTGTTCCTCATAGTCAGAGTTCTTCCTGGCAAGGTTTGGCTGAGACGAACACGTCTCTCTTTTGTGTGTGTGTGTTTGTTTTTGGTAATTCTTATTTTTAAAGCTTAAACGTGTTTTGTTTTGAAGGCTGTTGACGTATTTATGTTCTGTATTATTTTTATCTCTATAATTAATGAAGTAATTCGTACAGAGAGTAGAATTCAAGACAGAAGGAAAGCCGGGAAGCTGGCGGGGGGGGGGGGACGGCAGCGCCGGCCAGCATCGTGGGTCTGTGGCTGGGACTCCGGTAGACCCCAAGCTCCAAAGGCCCCCCAGAACTTGGTACCCTGCGAGATCTGCCCCGTGACGTCTGACGGGGCACGCTTCCCGGTGTCACGTTGGACTTCGGAAGGCAGGGTCTGTGCCCCTCGATGTGGTGCCGAGAGGCAGAAGACAGTTCCCTGCAAGCTGTGGGCCGCAGAGCCGTGCTCATCTTGGCTCTTCGGCGGCAGACACCACCTACCAAGCTGTGGAATGAAAGCCTCCTCCACTAAGCGCTGTAGCTAGAGAATAATGATTACCTGATCTGCCGCAGTGCTTCCCGGCTGCGCAGGTGGCGGCCGCCTACTCCGTGGACTCTTGTGCCTTGGAATCTTTGTAAATTTAACTACGTCGGAGAAGTGGCTTCTTTGTACTTTTTCTACTTTTCCTACCTTTTTCTAGAAAAAAAATGTGTTTTTCTCTCTCTCCTTTGTTTTGTGTGTGTGTGTTTGGGTTTTTTTTGCATTTGCCTTTCTGGGGCTTTGGGGGGGCAGCTGCCGCCAACGTGTTTATAGGCAATCTGTTTTTCTCGGTGTCCAGTTTGAGGAGACAGTCACCGCTGCCCGCCTGCTTTCTGACCAAGCAATGCTAACTTTTGTACAGATTGATTTGATAAAATAAAAAGCTTTTTATCTACGTGGGCCACGTTTTGTGTGCTGATAATCCGTGAACCCGGGGCCGACCTGGGGGTGAAGGTTTCCTGGTGAGTCTAAGGCCGGTTCTGCCAGGGGTCTGACCCCAGTGGACAGCTGGGAGCCAACCCGCCCCCCCCCCGGCCCGGCCTGCCCCTCAAAGCTGCCGTCCTGAAACTTAAACCCCTGTGTGGCTAGCGCAGCCCTTCCTGGGGTGAAAGCAATCCAGACAGGTTGCGCTGGGGCCGTGGTTTCCTCTGAGGTGAATCGTGCGGTCTCTGGAGGCTAGGTAGGCTGATGGCATTTTGGGGGCCTTGGCATGGAGCCAGTCGGGGGATTGGATAAAAGATGCTCTGCGAGAGCCAGGCAGAACTGTCTGCTTGGAGGAGTTTCGGGGAGGAGGTGCTGGAGGGGAGGGGAGGGGAGGGGAGCCCCTCCTCAAGCTCCCTGGGTGCCTGTGGCTGGGCCGGGGCCGGCGGGGCCGCCGGGGCCTCCGGAGCCTTCTCCATCTGCGGGCAGGGGAGGGGCTATGCCACTGGGGAGCACAAGCAGGGCACCTGGCAATTTTCACACACGGCTGGAGCAGCGGGCACCCCTCCACCCCCCACCAGCTTGACGCTGCCCCAGGGAGCCTGTGCGCAGGGCAGTGCGCCCCGCCGGCCGCGCAAAGAGATGCTGCCAGGTTTCCATCGGTTCTCAAGGTGTGTCCGGCCGCAGGTGAAGGGCAGGGGGTCCGGAGAGTCTGCGAAGACCCAGTTCACGGACGCCTGCGGCCTACATGGAGCCAGCCCAGCCCACCCAGCCCCCAGCCAAGGCTGTCCCGGTCCGCAGGGCCCCCGAGCCCCCCGGATGGATGCCCCACACCAAGGAGAGCCCCAGGCGTCAGGGCTGCATGGGGCCCACGCTGGGCCTGGCGCTGCGGGCTGGCAGTCCCAAGGGCAGGATGGCACTGCCAGTTTTGTTGGGGTTTGGCGGGACTCCTGCGCATTAACTCCTGCGGCTCAGACCCTCTGTCTCATGTCTCCGGGAGCGACAGGGAGTCTCTGCCTGAGAGAGGGTGCGGGCTGTGTCTGAGGCTTGGTCCTCAGAATGAGCCCAGGCCCGGGCCCCGCGGTCTCCCCTGCCTCCTCCTCACACCGCACTGAGGAGGTGGCTGGGGGGGCGTCCGGCTGGGGCGGGGGGCTGTCCTGTGCGTCTAGCTTTGAGTTTTGAGGGACCCTGCAGCATCCTGGAGGAACTCGCGGCCGGCGCCATTTCCCAGGCCGACTCCAGCCGCGGTCCAGATTTTCCCGACTGGCTGGTGGCCAGAGTTCCTCGCTTCTCCTTTCCTCGCCCAGACTCGGTGACCTCTGGCCTCCATGGAACACAGCAAGTGCCCCGTCCAGACAAAGGAGAGCCGCGCCGCTGCTCTGCCCACACCTGCTAGGCTGGAAAAGCCCCTCGGCCCTGCCAGCGAGGGCTGAGCTCTGGAGCGGGCCTGCTCCTCCGGTCCCACACAGGAGCAGAGCTGTGCAGGACGTGTCCCCGGGGGCTGCTCTCCCTTCTGCGTGTGGGGGCACGGGGCTGTTCCTTCCTCCCTTTGGGGTCTATGGCTGCCTCTAGGAGTCTCCATCCCCTCACTATAGACGTGGGCAGGACACAGGGGAGACCATGGGCTGGGGTATAACGAGGCTGACGGCCACTGTCACAGAACCCGCCCTGGCAAATGTCTGGCTCATGGGCGAGGTAAACTGGTAAGGAAATCAAGCAAGAGGGACGCGGGCCCAGCCGGTGTCCCAGGCAGGGGCCGGGTGGGCCCACAGCTCTGTGTCACGGCCACCGCCCTGTGTGTGGCCAGTCCCCAGCACCGAAGCCCAGCCGCACACCTGACTTGTATCTAGGCACTGAGCAACTTCCTGTGGAGAGGCCAGATAGCCCGATGGGCCTCTGTGCCTCAGTTTCCCCCATGGCTATGGGCGTTGTGACAGTCTTCCTGGGTTTCCCTGAGGATTCGCTGAGCTGGACTGGCGTGGCTGTGCCCAGCACTGACCTTTGTGACTTCCTGCCCATCACCACCAAACCTCAAGGCCGCTTGTCCAGTTAACCCTGGGTTCTGGGTGGGGTGGGTAGGCACCCCTCCCCCAGCCTCCCTGAGCCTCCCTGCTCCTCTTTGGCTCTCTGTGAGGAAGGAGGGAGGGTCAGAATCTGGGGTCACCTCTACCCGGGTGGCTTGGCCCAGGCCAGGGCTCCTTGGAGCTTTAAATGTAGAGTTGAACCCCTGCGGTTGGTGGTCGGAAAGCCTGAGACACTCAGAAGACTCCCCTCCCCCCTCCCCCTGGCTTTCATCCGATTCCTCGGGCACCTGTCCTGGGGACCCCACAAAGGGTTAAGGGGCGCAGGCTGCCGTGCCCATAACTGGGCAGGCGGGGCGGCCGGGCTGGTACCAGGCCAAGGGCTTCGAAGGCACTGCATTTTAATGAATCATTATTGCCGGGCAGCCCTTTGTGTTTCTTTATCCGGTGCACAATAAAAGAATTAATTAGACAGAAAATGGCAGGGCAAGGGACTGACAAGTCATTAAGGGCTACTGAATGACCGATGAGATGCAGGCCGGGTGGGTTTCGGCTCCGGAATGATAATGGCCAGCGGAGTGCTTTGTATGCATGACCAGTAGGCCTCTGCCGCTGCCATTGTGGCCGGGCGGGAGTGGACATGGGGCCCTTGCTCTCCGGGCGGAGCTGAGTGAGCCGACCAGACAAAACCCTGTTTTGATTTCTGTGTGCGGGTGAGCATCCGCAGTCAGGCCCCGGGAGCCTGCCAGAGGCCGGTTCTGCCCTTTGGACTTTATTTCCTTGCTGGGGAACAGGCGCAGTGGGTGTGGTGGAGGTTTGAGAACTAGGACTGGGGGAGGCGGAGGGGGGATGTTGAGGGGGAGGGGGGCTGATGGGGCTGGAGGGACGGGAGGAAGTGCTGCCCCCAGCCCCGCTGGACCCAGATCGGCTCTCCCACTCAGAAGAGCGGGCTCCCCGTGGATCTGTGTCCTTCACAGTGGCCACCGAGTGTCCAGAATGCAGGAAGGCAGGCCAGGAGCAGAGACGCCAGTGAGTGATGAGCTGGTCATTAGCCTCTGGCCAGCAGGAGCCCGCTGACCCCCTGCCCTGCAGCCTGGCCCCCGGGGCGCCCCTGTGGGGTCCTGCAGGAGAGAGGGGTGGAGCTCCCCGGCCTCCCCGGCCTGAGGAGAGCCGTGGAGGTGGGCTGGCCGTGGTCAGCAGCCTCCCGGGGTGGACGTGAGGGGTTGCGACGCCACCCCCAGGCCGCACCGCGCCCACAGCTGATGTGGGCAGGCCCAGCTCGGGGCTGCACCTCTTCCTGAGCGTTAACTGACATGAAGATTTGGGGGTGCAGCTGGTAGCCCCACTAATACCTGTGAGGATTCCGTCCCCTGTGTGCGAGCTGTGGGTAGACAGGGAAGAAGAGCTGCCCGGCTGGGGGCCACAGGTGCTGGGAAGGGCAGGGGGGCCCGGACTCCTGGGGTGGCCAGGAGCTCTTGTTTTGTTGTTGGGCCTTGAACTCAGGGCCTGGGCGCTGTCCCTGAGCTCTTTCGCTTAAGGTTAGCGCTCTACCACTGTGAGCCGCAGCGCCACTTCCTGTTTTTGAGTGATTCATTGGAGGTAAGCGTCTCATGGGGGCTTTTCAGCAGGCTCTGAACCACGATCCTCAGATCTCAGCCTGAGCAGCTAGGTGACACCCGTGAGTCCCTGGCCCCCGTGGGGCAGGAGTTCTTGCTGCTGTACCGAGGGCCCCACATTCCATATTCTGTGTGTGCCCCCCACACTGGGAGAGCAGGGTGAGGCTTCTACTGTCCTCCAGAAAGAGGAGGCCCTGGGACTCGGACGCCCCGACCCTGCTCTCCCCGGGGGCGTGAGCAGAGCCCCCTGCTTGATGCCCGGCGCGGAGCAGTTCCTCTCGGCCCCTTGCACTCTGGCGGAAGGCATGGGGCAGGTTTGGGGGCTCAGGTCTGGTCCTGCCAAACTCACTCTGTGACAGACACCCCCTTGCGCGTTGCTAGGGGCGAGTAGGCGTCTCTAGACACCAGCCTGGCTGCGAGGCCCGGAGGGAGCCGGCGTGGCTGGTAGGCTGAGCAGGAAGCCGCTGGCTAGCACATTTCCTTTCATTCACCAGCACTCCGGCCCCAGCCCTTTGGGCAAAT